ATACACATGGGCACAGGGGTGCAGGATGCTGTTGCATGCTGGGAACTGTGTGTTTGCTGTGCTGTTTGCGACGGCTGTTTGGGTGCCGTTGGTCGCAACTGCTACTGGATCGGGTGCGACGATCACCTTCACACGCAATGATCTTGTGACCATGAGCATCAACACATCGTTCTCGCTCTTGCCACAGCACGAGTGGCTCGTGCAGCCGGTCCAGGATGCCATCAACGCTGTCGCAGCCACGCTCAAGGGTGCGTGTGTGTGTGTGTGGGGGGGGGGTGTGTGTGTGATGAAGATGGTCACTGTTACCACTGCGTTTTGCTCGATGTTGTGAAACTACAAACGCACACGCACACGCACACACACACACACACAGCAAGCACACATGCATGTGCACATGCACAAACGCCAAGCCCTCACCTCTTCCATTGCATGCACAGTGCTGCCAGAGAACAAGAGACGATTTGTCTGGGAAGGCAGGATTACATGTGATGGCCAGGGTGAAACTGCGACCGTGTCGTGCACAGGACCTGGTGACCTCGACGTCCCTGCCAGCCACACAACCTGTGGTAGCAGCCACATGCTTCGCACGGACCTCGCCCTGTACGTCGTGGAGCGGGACTGCGGCGCCAACACAGCAAGCAGCAGCGACAGCACGTCACCGCCCATCCTGGCGTCTGCAGCCGTCTGTCGGCGAGGGCATCGCACGGGTCGCCCGACAGCTGGCGTCGTTCGCCTGTGCTCAACCTACCTAGCATCTCGTTCACCGGAACGCAGCGAGCAGTGGGACGTCGCACGACTCGTCCTGCACGAGCTCGTGCACGTCCTTGTGTTCGATCCATCCTCCATGTTCAGATACTTGCGGTGCGACACGGGGCAGAACGCCAACACAGGCAGAGACGTGGGCAGCACCGCCGATAATCCAGCCACCAGCATCCTTGGCGGCAACGGCAACGGTAACGAGGGTCCCATGAGCAGGCAGGAAGGCGCAGTGACGCAGAACATCACGTGCGCGCCATACAGCGTCGGCACCGGTGGGCTGCCAACCCTCGACGGCGTGTTGGCGCGAGTCAGTGGGGTGGGCCTGCTCGCAACGCCCCGGGTACAGGTTACTGCTCGCCGCCACTTTGGCTGCACATCGACGAACGAGGCGCCGGTGTTTGGGCTGCCGCTTGAAATGGAGGGGAGCGGAGATGGCGTGGCAAGCTCGGCTGCTGGACGGCGGCATTTTGAGGAGCGCGTGCTCGGTGGCGGGGAGCTGCTCGGACCGCGGTGGGAGGGCGCAGATAGGGAAGACGCGCGCCTCTCGACCTTCGTCACGGCACTGCTGGCGGATTCGGGGTGGTACTTTCCAGTTGACGTGGGGTATGCTGTGCAATGGGGCGCCGGCGATGGGTGTGGCGTGATACAGCCTGGCGTGTGCCTTCGTAGCCCTACACCTGGCCACTGCCCGGCAGCAAACGCGACCGTGTGCCACCCTAACGGACGACACAAGGCCCGCTGCACAATCACCCCGTTTTCTGACGAATGCCCCATCCCCGTCGTTGTCCAGGACGGCAGCTGCCAGTACCCCCACACTGGCTCGGCACTGTCGACAACACGGCCGCTCGCATCGATTGCCATCCAAAGCACCGCCTCGCGATGTGTGGACGCTATCGAAACACCCATCACATCAGACACAACAGCCACACCACGGCTGCCAACAACCAGCAGCATGCTGTCCTCCGTCCCCACGTGTTTGCAGTTCGCATGCTTGGGTGGCAGGCCCTATTTCACCGCCAATGCGCACGCAGCACCCACGCGGGCGCAGCAAGAACAACAATCCCCCAGCAGTAGCAGCAGTGACAGCGGTGACACTCGGGGTCGAGCATCGCGAGCGTGGCTGCACGCCGCCTGCCACAACAGAACACGCGCACTGCTCTTTACATCTGTCTCATTCACGTGTCCGCTGTGGGGAGCAGAAGAGTGCGAGGGGCACTGGACACAGCGACAAAGACATACACTCTCGTTGACAGTGACAGCAGCTTCAAGAAGAACAGCAGCATCAGATGAAACAGAGGCAGCGAGCACGCACACGAGCACGCACATGAGCAGCAGCAGCAACAGCAGCAACGCGTTCGCTGGTGTCGACCATGTGCGAACACTGGTCGAAGCAGCCTTCAACGTGAGTCGCGTCGTCAACGCCAGCGACGGCAGCAACAGCAGCGGCGGCAGCAGCACCATGGGTCGCGTCGATAGCGACACGCCGTGCAGAGAACAGTGGTATGTGCTGCCGGGTGCAAGTCAAGATCATGCAGTGGTGTATGTTGTGGACGGAAGTGGGGCTGATGGGTGCGTCGACCTCGACACAGCCACACAGCGGCTGATGGCATTGGTGGCAACCGCGCCAACCCTCAGTTACGCGACAGACGACCCACGACACCGCCCCTCCCGAGGTGCAGCCAGCAGCGCGTGGCGGTGGGCGCTGGTGGGCGTGGTTGGCGCGTGTGTGGTGGGAGTCGTGGCGGTGGTCGTGCGATGGCAGCCGCCGTCAGCGTACCACACGTTCACGCCACGCGTGTCAGAGGTGGTGGTGGGACATGACGTTAACAGTGACGAGAGCACAGTGGTGGCGAAAAGGGGTGGCTCCGCCAGGACGGCCACTGGCATCAGCAGCATCAGCATGGGGAGCACGTCCAACAGCGGCAGCAGTGTGGGTTGGGCAGGCACGACGGGTGGCTGTCACGTGGCTGACAAGGCCACAGATGGAGACAGTCGTGGACCCACGGACATGGGAGCGACGGGTGCTGCGGGTGGAGCAACGGCAATCCTGGGCTCGACAACAGCAAGGCAGGCGTGGATCTGAACTGTTGCGCTGCAAATGGAGGGTGAGCAGACGCACATGCCGCACACGCGTGCACCCATGTGTGCGTGTGTGTGTGTGTGTGTGTGTGTGTGTGTGTGTGCGTGCGTGTGTGTGTGTGTGTGTGTATGTGTGTGTGGCGGCGAGAAGCAACAGCGCCATCACACCACCGCTCGCAAGTCCACAAGCGCCAGCAGAGGATGCCACGCTCTGCGCATTGATGATGATGTACAGCCTGTCATGTAATGAAATGAAGCAAACAATGACCAATCAACCAAGCAATTGCAACTGCTATTCAGCCAGAAGAACAGCACACACACACACACGAGGAACTCACACACACACACACGAGAAACTCACAACGAGGAAGGAGACACTGTAACAACGCACAGCACCAACACACAACACGCAAGCACAGCTCCATTCTACGACGAAGACAAGCCACAAGCGACACCAAGAATGCAAGGGAAACACCACACGTGCACGCACGCAAGCACGCACGCACACAAGCACACACACACACATACACACACACACACACCCGCACGCATACGGGGCCATCATTCGCTCTTTGTGGCGGTGTTCTTCTTCCGTCGTTTGCGGTCCTTCTTCTTTAGTGCGTTCATGTTCGCTCGCAGCAGCGTTGCGTACTCCTGCGCACGATGTTACGGCAGGACGAGAAGCCACAACACAAGGGCCAGGGGGAAGGAGTTGGGGAAGTGAGACGAGTGCCCGTGACCTGACAAGCACACACACACACGCACAGACACGCACACACGCACAGACACGCACACACACAAAATCACATGAAGCGTGGGTTGGTTGCCGCACAGACTGACCTCTGAAAAGTCCTCAATCTCGTCCACACGAACCTGCAGAGCAGTTGGTGGCGTGACAGAAGGAAAGCATGAGGAGATTTGATGTGGCGGCAATGGCAATGCGGAAGCACACAAGTTCAAAGAGAAGAAGAAGAGGAGAAGAAGAAGAGAAGAAGAAGCATGGACACACAAGTGTGGCCACATGTGCGTGGGATGCATCCAACGCACCACTGTGCTGATTTTCTTGGTTCCGAGCGTTGCGCGGTACAAGCAGGCGGGGACGCCTTGGGTCTCCTCGATGGGCACGCGCATGCCGGGGTTCTTTGACTTGCTTCGTTTGCTCTTGGGTTTTGGAACAGACGTCACTGCAGCACAACAAGAAAGGTGCATGTACACAAGAGAGACAGAGAGTGTGTGTGAGTGTGGCTGTGAGCAAGTGTGAGTGTGTGCGTGTGTGTCTGTGTAGAAAGTCGGCAACGGGGGGGGGGGGATATTACGGGGAGATACACACACGCGCGCACGCACATCAGCACACGCATGCACCAGCACATCAGCGCGCACACACACGCACGCACATGATGTCGCACCCACAAGCACACACACACACACGCACGGTTCTTGACGGTGATGCAGACGCGGCTGGACTCCTTTTCCCTTGCCTTCTCAAACAGGCCCACGAGCTCCGACAGGAACTTGGGGACACACGTGTACAAGTACAAGCCATGAGACAGCAGCAGTCACACAAACACACACACACACACACACACACACACACACACGCATCGCAAGCAGATGCAGAAGCAGCCGACGCAGCAGCAGCAGCATCAGCAGCGTGTCGGCGGTATCCGCACACAACCTCCCACACCTCACCTGTTCTGAGCTGAGCCGTGGCATCGTCGTTGTCTTCTTGGGCTTTTGCTTTGCGGCAGAGGGCGACAGATCACAAGCAGCGACACACAGAAATATAGTAGTAAACTGAATTCAGTCAACCTTCATTTTTCCAACACAACACAAACAACCACACCTTCCAAGAAGACAACACCACGACAACAACACAACAACACGACCACCAACAACACCATCCCACCACCCTCCCACCACGCTCTGAGATGGCAAGTAGGCAGCTGGGCGCCGAGGATGGAGCGCGGTCCATTCGTCGTTCAAAGACAAAGCGTAACTCCGTGATTGATGTGCTGAGCGATGGCCGCCAGGGCGTTACCATGGCGGATGGCTCCCAGTACGTTGGCAGCTGGCAGGATGGCAAGTTCCATGGGCAAGGGGAGCTGGTGACGGCGGACGGCACGCGGTACAAAGGGTCGTTCGAGAACGGCAAGTTCCACGGCGTCGGCGTGCTGGAGACAAAGGCGGGCTCATACCAAGGGTCCTTGCAGAACAACCGCATGCACGGCCTGGGCAAGTTTGTGGCAAAGGATGGCAGCTCCTACGTCGGCAACTACGTCAATGGTGAGAAGAGCGGTAGCGGCGAGCTCACCTCCCCTGACGGCTCCGTGTACAACGGCGAATTCAAGGTCTGAATTTGGCCAAAGAAATAGCAGGGGTGTTGTTGTTGTTGTTGCTGGTGTTGTTGGTGGTGGTATTTGGTGCATGCACCTGTAGCCCAGCTTTGGTTGTGTTCTGTGCGTTTGCGTTTGTGTGTGTGTGTGTGTTGAGCGCACGCTTGGGAAGTGCTATTGGCTTGAAAGTCTCCAGTTGCTTGACCGTGCTCACAAGGGATATAACTGTACACACACACACACACACACGCACGCACGCACACACACACACACACAAAACACTCCAGGCGGACATGAAGCATGGGCAAGGGAAGCTGGTTGCAGCAGACAAGTCCGTGTACGAAGGTAAGCTCGTCCCTTCCACGCTCTGGATGAAGGGAGCTCAGGCGACTTCATGCATCGAAATATGCATGCCTCCACGCTCATGCACACATGTACTCATACACACATGCGCATACACATCGGGCCCCGCGCACGCAGGCGAGTGGCGGTCCAACAAGAAGCACGGAGAAGGCACCATCACGTTTACAAACGGCACGACGTACACCGGTGGCTGGGAGGATGACGTGTTCCACGGCATGGGCACGCTGAAGCGACCCGACAGCGTGTATCAGGGCAGCTTTGTCAAGGGCGTTGTGGAAGGCCGTGGCGTGCTCAAGGCTGCCAACGGCGAGCAGTACGAAGGAGAGGTCAGCCTTGTCGGTGGAAGTGTGTGTGTTTGTGTGCTTGTGTTGCTTGTGTTGTGTGTTTGTGCTTGTGTTTGTGTTTGTGTGCTTGTGTGTGTTTGTGTGCTTGTGTGTGCTTGTGTGTTGTGTGTTGTGTGTGTGTGTGTGTGTGTCCTTCTTGTGATTGTGCACCACCAATATCAGGTTGCGATGAATAGCAGCATTTCACGTCATATCAAGCTTACTGTTTGGTGCTCACGCTACGATTTGGTGCTCATGCTTCACACGTCGCCGATTATGATCCGCCTGTGCCAGTTCAAGAACAACAAGCCGAGCGGAAAGGGCACCATGGTTTATGCGGAAGGCGTCGGAAAGTACACGGGAGGTGCGTGGATGGATGGATACGTCCACACGCAATGCAACAGCAACTCCTTTTCTTTGGCAGCGTCTTGATCACACAACGTTTCACTTTGCATGTGCAAACGTATCTGACACACACACACACACGTACACACACACACACACACACACGCACTCACCACACACACGCACACTCACCACACACACGCACACACACGCGCACACTCACACTGCTGCGCACGTGTTGTGTGCAGGGTTCCTGAACGGCCTGCGGGAGGGCGCTGGGGAGTTTCACTGCACAGACCCGCACTACGTTGAGTTCTCGTACACGGGCGAGTGGAAGAATGATGTGCGACACGGCACAGGGACGCTCACCTTTCCTGATGGCTTCTCCTTTCGCGGAACCTTTGAGAACGGCCGTCCCATCTCAGGTGCCGTGCGTGCATATGTGCATATGCTTGTGTGTGTGTGTGTGTGCGTGTGTCTGTATGCGTGCGTGCATATCCTTGTGTGTGTGCATGCATGTACGCATGTGTGTGTGTGCGTGTGTCTGTATGCGTGCGTGCATATCCTTGTGTGTGTGTGCATGCATGTACGCATGTGTGTACATGAGTGTGTGCGTGTGTCTGTATGCGTGCGTGCATATCCTTGTGTGTGTGTGCATGCATGTACGCATGTGTGTACATGAGTGTGTGCGTGTGTCTGTATGCGTGCGTGCATGTGCTTGTGTGTATCTTGGTCTCACGACATAGAAACACTCATGTGCACGCCCATCCACAGGCACGTTCCGTAAAGGCGACTTGACAAAGGAGTATCAAGACGATCCAAAGTTCCACAAGTTTCTTGGACCAACCTCAAACCCAGCCGGCTGGGAGGTGTGTGTATGTATGTATGTTTGTATGTTTGTTTGTTTGTGTGTGTGTGTGTGTGGTTGTGTGTGTATGTGTGTGTGTTTTATTATGTGTGTGTGTGTGTGTGTGTGTCTGTGTCTGTGTGTGTGTGTGTGTGTGTGTGTGTGTGTCCTTCTTCGCTTCCTCACCTTCCTCCCCCTCCCACATCCTCTGCCCCTCTCGCACACCCACTGACTGGTGTTGCTCGTCTTCATTGGCGCAGATGGCGCTGTTGAAGATCATGCAGCACTGGCACCAAACGGCTTCCTCCTAGGCGCGGGGCCACGCGTACATGCGTGCGTGTACGTGTTTTAGAACGTGTGTGGCGTGGTGAAGTGAGATGTGCTCCGCAGAAGTTGTATGTTGTTACACTTGTGCTCTGTATGTGTGTGCTTACAGGCGGCCTCTGCTCGCTGTTGCTACGGGGCCAGCAGTATTGACCTCTCAACCCAAAGTAAACAGCCCATAGACGCAACCCACCCACGGCACCCCTTGCCTTGCTAGCAACAAGCCCACCAAGTTCAAGCAGCAAGCCAATCAGAGGTCACATGTCACATCACATCGCTGTGAAACCAAGCACAGCAGCACAGCAGCACACACTCGTCTTGCCGCGCCAAAACTTCAAAAGCGCGCATTGCCCAATACAGCAGCAACAGGCAAGCGCAGGCTCCAATCATCATCACACATCATCATCATCGTCAAGCGACAGCGGGCACTGGTGGACGAAAGGGCAGGATGCCGGGCAAGGAACTCTGCGTCGTCGTGGCAGCAACGCTGCAGTGGGGTATCGGCAGGGATGGCACGCTTCCATGGAAGCTCAGGTCTGCTGAACAGTGTGTGTCTGTGTGTGTGTGTGTGTGTGTGTGTGTGTGTGTGTGTGTGTGTGTGTGTGTGTGTGTGTGTGTGTGTGTGTGTGTGTGTGTGTGTGTGTGTGTGTGTGTGTGTGTGGACTTGTACTAGGAGCTGCGCTCACTCACGCGCCTTTATTGTGTGCGTGCGTGTGTGGATGGCGAGCAGGGGGGATATGAAGCACTTCCGCAAGGTGACAACCGAGGCTGCACCAGGTTCGTCACAGGCAAGACATGACAGTGGTCGTGCTGGTGATGCTGGGAGAGTGAGTGGTCACCTGTGGTGATGACATGTGGTGGCATGGGCGCCATGCACATGTCGCTTGGCTCTCACACGTGCGTGCATATGCCACTGACTGGTGCGCTTGGGTCTGGTGTAGGCAAGCGTAATGCCGTGATTGTCGGGCGTGCCACGTACGAGTCCATCCCAGAGAAGTTCCGTCCACTCAAGAACCGATGGAACATCGTCCTCTCCAGCAACACGGCCTTCAGGTGTGCGTGTGTTGTGTGTGTGTGAAAGTGTGTGTGTGCGTGTGTGTGTGTGTGCGTGTGAAAGTGTGTGTGTGTGTGTGAGTGTGAGTGTGTGCATGTGTGATCGTCGACGTGTGTGTGTGAAAGTGTGCTTGTCACTGGTTTACGGGTACTTGCACCGTCGCCACATCGCAGGGCACTGTACTTACACTCAGTGTCGCTGTGTGTTGATGTGATTGTGTTCCAGGGATTCGCTCCCAGCTGATGTGGCCTCATGCTCCAGCTTCGAGGACGCCGTGAGGCTCTGTCAGGACAAAGAGGTGCGCCCGGTTCCTCCGCCTGCTCGCTCCCTCAGTAGTCACTGATCAAGTTTACAACATCTATTGACACAGGCGGCTGGCAGAGACAGCGTTCACCATTACAGCACACACACACACACACACACACACACACACACACACACACACACACACACGACGCACGCATGCACACACGCGCGCATGTGTGAACACATGGTGCTCCCAATTCTCCCGCGTGCAGGACATTGACAGGATCATGGTGATTGGCGGCGCACGCTGCATCAAGGTGCGTGAGCGTTGCGCCATGTGCAGTGTTGCGCCAGCCCGCGTGTAACACTTACACGGACACGATCTGCAATGCATGTCACACATACACACGCATACACACACACACACATGTGCACAAACACATACACGCACGCACACACACACGCATACACATGTACAAACACACATACACATACACATACACATGTACACGCACACATACACATACACATACACATGCACACACACATACACACACAGGAGGCGCTGCAGAGACCGGACTGCCAGCACATCTTCTTCACGCGGGTGAAGGCGGAGGTGCCATGCGACACGTTCATCGAGCCCATCGATGACAAGACCTTCCAGGAAAACCCAGCGTTCCCCAAGGTGCTCAAGAGAGGGAAGGGAGAGCGAGGGGTGTATTCATGCGGTGCGTGTGCGCATGTGCATCTGTGTGCGTGGGTGTCTTTTTCTCAGCGATGCAAAGTGCTGCCTTGGACCTCGCTCAACCATACATCAACAACACACAATCGTTCACATGCAGGTTGAGCTGGAGGAGGAGGGCATTCCATATGAGATTCTGCTTCTCTCCCGCAAACCACCGTCCATCGTGGACTGAGCTCCACTCGCCCTTCAACGCGATGCGCACGTGCATGTGCCCCCTTTCATCCTGCCCGTGCCCTGACACGCCAGTGCTGTCTTGGACGCAAGCCTTGTTACACATCCTTTGGTTCATAAACGACGCTCCCTCAAACAAGCAAACACGCAAGCATGTATTCAACAAGCACCGCAAGAACCACAATACAAACAGCCCAACAAGATACAGCGACAAGCAAACAAACACAAACAAACAAACAAACAAAACACACACACACACACACACGCGACGGTGGCTGGTGCTTGCGTGCTACTCATCGTCGTCGTCTTCGTCATCAGAAAGGACAATTCGCTTGTTTGCTTTCGGTGCCGCGCGCGGCGCTGCTCTTCGCTCCACCCGCTCAACCTCCTCCTCCTGTCACGTGCACACACACACGCACACACACACACACACACACACACACACACACACACACACACACACACAACGAAGACGGCGGCGTGAGCATGAGCGGTGAAGACGCAGTGGAAGCAGCGTGCATGTTGGAGCGAATGCATGGTGCATGTCCTGTACATGGGTGGCGTGCATGGAGGGGGGGGGGGTGCTTACGTCGGCAAGGAAGTCATCATCATCCTCCTCCTCATCTTCGTAATCGTCTTCGTCGTTGTCGTAATCCCCGGCCTTGACGGCGTTGATGCTCCACTGGAACATACGTTCACAGAAAACACGCGCGCGTGGTTGTATGCGTGGTTGTGTGTGTGTTGTTTGTGTATGTGTGTGTGTTGTTTGTTTGTGTATGTGTGTGTGTGTGTTGTATGTGTGTGTTGTGTGTTGTTCAGAAGAGAGCATGATGTACGTGAGTACAGCAAGCACACACTCACGCACAATGCTTCACACAACACAACACAATAAAATGGTACCCCTCCTCACCCCGTCGACCACATCTCCTCCGCTCTGCTACCATCCCCCCCCCCACCCTTATCCCATCACACCCAATCTCATCACACCACCACCGCCACTGCGACCGACCCCGTATTCGCCCTCGAGGTCCTTGACAGTGAGCGACGTCTTGGCCTTCTTGCGCCGTCGCAGCTCCCTGTTCCGCTGCCGAATCGCCTCCTGCTCCTCCTTGATCGCCTTCTGCTTCGCCTTCTCGGGATTCTCGCTCACCACCGTTGTCTTCGTGCGTCGCACGGCCCGCGAGTGCGTCTTCACGCTGTGCATCAGCCGCTGCTGCGTGCGTCCGCTCAGCGTCGCCGCCTTAAACGTCAGCCGCTGCTCAAACGGTGCGCGCGCCTCATACCCCGACCCGTCCTCCCGCGTCTGCAGCAGCTGCTGCACGGGCCCGCCCGCACCGAGGTCTGTAAGCACGACGTCGTGCACCTCGTCGCCGAGGATGAGGGACATGCTGTTGTCGTTCCAGCGCACCAGCCGCGCGTTGGACTCCATCGCGCCGTCGTCGTTGCGCCGCCACCGGATCGTGTTCTCCAGCTGCAAGTTGGCACGGCAGAGAATGAGAAGAGGGGGGGGGGACGGTTGCAGTGTTGGTGATGTTGGTGGTGGTATTGGTGATGATGGTGGTGATGGTGATGGGGGTGATGATGCGGTGATGAGATAAGGGGATTTCAAGAAGTGCCACGCACTCACTTATCACTGAAATCACTCCTTCTTGCAGTCACGCACAAGTGCACGCGCACACGAGGCAAGAGCATGTATGGCGGGGCGCGCTGCTGTACCCTGAGCTTGACGCGGCGACGGCCAAGGTCGTCCATGACGTGCGACTCCTCGTTCTCCTCTGCCGTAAACGTCTCAGCATCAAACGGCCTGCAGGTGGTGGTAGCGGAGGTGGTGAGGAACATGGTATGATTGGTACAACGCACGTGTCATCGCGCGTGTTACACGCACACGGCATGCAGTCACAAACAGCCAGCCAAATTGGCCGATAGAGGCGCGAACACACACGCACACACAAACACACATCAACACGCACACACAAACACACACGTACACACACACACACAAACACACACATACACACACATACACATCAACACACTCGTGAACTAGCAAACATGTTCATGTCAAAATGCATGGAAACACGGTCGCGCGCAAACGGACTTTGGGTTGATGCTGATGAAGTTTGGCATCTTGGCGAGGTAAATCTTGGAGCCAATGTGCTTGAGGAAACATGGTGCGTACACCGGGTCGCGTGGCTTCAGCACAGGCGCCTCGTCCTCGCCAGTCATCATCATCGTCTGCGACCCGCCCATACCAAACGCATTGGTGTCGTCGTCGTCATCCTCGGAGACATCGCCAATCAGATCGCGCGCACTTGCGGCAGGCGCTGACTCGGCAACAGGCGACGGGCTGTGCATGGGTGGTGTGTGTGTGGGGGGGGGGAGGATGAGGTCTAGAGTGCAGTGCATGGGTGCGCGGGCAACCTGCAAATCAATGAGAGACATGCACGCGCACGCGCGCACACACACACACACACATACATACACGCACGCACGCATACACACTCGTACCTCAGTGCAGGTGTAGGGGAGACAGGCCTGTCCTGGTCTTTGTTGCTTGGTTCTTGGGTGGCTTCTGCTTGCGCTTGCTCGTCATCTTCCTCTTCATCGCTCTCCAGAGGGCCCACGGCCTTTGTCGAGGGTTTCTTCATCGCCACATCATCATCGTCATCGTCGCCATCGTCGTCATCGTTGAAGAGTGCCTCCAGCGTCTCGGCTGTGAACGTGGCAATGATGTTGGGAAGCAGAGAATGGACACGGTGTGGGACAATGGGTGTGTGTGTGTGTGATTGCGTGAGATCATATGAGCGTGTGAGTGTGTGTGTGTGTGTGAGTATGAGTGAATGTACTTGGGTGGGTGTGCGTGCATGTTCAGTGGGGCACGTAAGAGCGGGCAACTGCAAGTTAAACCCTTACGCGACCACACCAGGACACTTCCTCACATTGAGCAAACGTACATTCCTGCTGAGCTGGTGAAGTTACACACACGCATACACATACACACTCGCACTGTAAAACTGACAACAAGGCACAATGGCACCTTCCCACGCACACGCACGCACCGCTTTGCTTGCTGCTGGACTCTGGTGCTGTAGCTGTATCCGTCGTCGCACCGGCATCGTGTTCGCTGTTCTCTGTGTCAGCTTCTGTTGTCGACGCTTGGTCACCACTGTTGTTCTTGTCGTTGTCGGCGGTTGTCGCAGCACTTGCTGCACTATCTGCAGCCTCCTGTGCACGACTTGCCTCTGCAGCCTCCTGTGCACCACTGGCCTCTGCACGCTCCTTTCCCTCTTCGCTCATGCCCGTCGTCCTGCCCTCGTCCTCAGACATCATCGTGGTTGGTTCCCGTGCAGCGAGCGAGCGCCTTGTTGCTGTTCGTTGTTTGCAGAGACGAAAATCACGGGCATCCTTCACAAATCGTCATTATCTGCCGTGGAATTGGGAGGACGTCGCACCAACAACAAGCAAACGAGCAAAAGAAGCAAGCAAGGTATGTGTCACATCATGTGCCACCACCGCTTCCTCCTCCAACTTTGTTGGACTTCTGCCTGGCTTGTGGCTTGCTCAACTCACGGCTCTCCTGTTCTACCATGCGGTCTGCTTCTCAAGTTACACACACACATACACACGTATGCACACCACCAAAACTTCCACTCACACCCTTGCACACAAACTTTCAAACAAAACACTCGCACATGTTCAAACACACACACACACAAACAAACACACACACACACACACACAAACACACACACACACACACACACACAAACAAACACACAAACAAACAAACAACCGAAAACACCCATTGCAGGGAGTCAGGCCCTTTGGTTGCGCTCAACGGCCATGATGGACGTTGGCTTCGCAGACCAGCAGCCACCGCATGACGGTCTGCATGGCCAGCTGCTGGGTGCGCAGCTGGAGCTGCCCAAGAACGGAACATGCAAAACGCTCGTGTTCGGCCGCAGAGGAAAGGTGGACTGGTTCTTGCTCGGCATCGGCATGTTCCAGCTTCTCGGGTTTGCCTTCATCATGCTGTATCAGTACTTGAAGAAGATCAAGGCCGTCAAAGGCCTGCCGGTGACGGGCAACCTCACCATGTTTCCGGCCTACATGCGCATCATGTGGGCGTTTGGGCTCACAATCGCCTTCTTCCTGGGCGGAAACCTGTACTTCAACACCCGCCCGTTCATCGCCGACTACGCCATCGAGGAGGCCGTGTATTGGGGCGTGGCCAACTGGATCTACCACACCGTCGTGGACGGCATCCTCATCTTCCTTTGCTTTCGCGGGTCCGGCATACGCAGCTTGCGCAACGCTGCCATCGTCTCCGCGGTCGTCGGCTTTGTCTACGGCGTCGGCACCACGCTGGCCTTGCTCGCATCCCACTGGGCACCCCACCACGACCTCGACTACGGCCTCGCCGTGCAGCTGTCCACGGAGGGCTTGCTCCTTGTCATGTACCTCATCGTACTCTTTGCGCCGTATCGTGTCCTGTACCGGCGTCCGGCGGCCATTCTCTACGCCGGGTGCTGGTGCATCTACAGGCCCATCTACATGACCACTCTCGTCCTCATGTACCTCAACGTCGACGCCGGCTTCTGCCTCTACGGCGCCATCACCACCTTCGCGTGGAACGCCGTCAAGCCTGGCCTCATCTACTTCACCCTGCAGCGCGACCAGCGGTACTGGGTCGGGTCCTTTGCCACTCGGCAGAGCACGCTCCGGGGCAGCACAAGGGCCACCAGCAGTAGCCGCGAGTCGCTTGCCACGGGAAAAGGAGGAGGTGGTGGTGGCGGTGGCGGTGATGAGGATGACGAGGAGTGCCCGCTGCTGCCCATGATGCAAGGCGACCAGCTGGACGATGTTGCCGCAAGTGCGCTCGGCAGATACATGGACGTGGTTGGGGACATGTGCCCAATGATCGACATGGCAAACCTCAAGTTCCAGAAGCTGGAAGACAACATTGCGCCAGAGGAGGTGCTGAAGCGGCGGCTGCTGGGCGCGGGCGGAACGGGCCGCGTGTACCGTGGCGTGTACGAGGGCAAGGACGTTGCAATCAAGATGCTGTATTGCATACAGCTGGAGAAGGACACCATTCGCAACTTCTGCCTGGAAAACAGCCTCCTGTGCACCATTCGCCACCCAAATGTCGTGCAAGGCGAGGGCGTGTGCGTCGCTCCACCGGCAATTGCCTCCGTCATGGAACTCTGCTCAGGTTTGGTGTCTTTGGCCAGGTGGTGGTGATGGGTGGTGGAAGGTCGTGGTGATGGTGGTGGTGATGGTGACGGTGGTGATGGTGGTGATGGTGGTGATGATGATGGTGATGATGGATGGTGACTTCAACTGCAAGCGATCACTCCTCCGTTCATACACACATGCAAGAATTCACTCTTTCACATCTGCCTACGGCTGCCTGCGGCTGCCTGCGGCTGTCTGCGGCTGTTTACATGTGTGTATGTGTGCGTGTGTTTGCGTAGGCAATCTGCTTGAGCTGTTTGGGATGCAGCGGCGGGATAAGCAGCTTGCCGACTGGGACGTGCGCCTCAACATGGCCATCGACTGCTGTCGCAGCGTCGCCTGCCTTCATCGCCTTGGTAATCGTCTGTGTGCACATGTGTGTCCGTGTGTGTGTCCGTGTGTGTGTATGTGTGTGTGTGTGTGTGTGTGTGTGTGTGTGTGTGTGTGTGTGTGTGTGTGTGTGTGTGTGTGTGTGTGTGTGTGTGTGTGTGTGTGTGTGTGGCTGTGTGTGTGTTTGTTTTTGTCATCTGTGCCCCATTTTCAACACCCTCCCTTTCCCAACACACGCAACATGCCCATGCAGGCCTTGTGCATTGCGACATCAAGAGCTGCAACTTCCTCGTGTGCCAGGAGAGCGTCAGCAAGTGGACAAACCGCGATGTGCTGCTGTGGCTCAAAACAATGGGTGAGCAGGTCGCACGCCACCACGCTTTGCTGCGGCTGCTCGTCTCTCTCGGTCCCTCTGTGCGTGTGCGTGTGTTTGGTTGTTTGTGTGGTTTTTTGTCTGTCTGTCTGTCTGTCTCCCTCTCTCTGTTTCTCTGTACCTCACATACACTTGAGCTTGGTCATGCGTGCTCACACACGCATCCATGTCGCAACTCCCTCTCGCGGTTCTCTCCCATGTGCACTCGATACGACACGTCAACTACAACACGTCCCCGCTCACCGCTCACGCATCCCCTCCCATGCATCGCCTCAGGGTTGGACGACTTCGTTCCGGATTTTCGCCGCGCGGGCACGTGCGGGTGGGGAACGGGCCCCCACAACCCTGGCCTGCTGCAGCTTGAGCCAGCACACCTACGCACGGTCGTGAGCACGCGGCGGCAGCAGCTGGCGTCATATCCGCACCTCGTACGGGAGGTGAAGGAGCTGCGTCGCTACATCATCAGGTGTCAACACGTAGGGAGTGTTCTGTGTGTGATTGTATTTGTGTGTGTGTGTATGTATGTGCATGTGTGTGTATGTGTATGTATGTATGTGTGTATGTGTGGTGCTGTTGCACAACGATTTCAGGCACGTGTGCGTTGCACATTGCGCATGTTCATCCCGTCCCCGTCTCCCCTCACCTGTGCTGGCTGCGCCTCAAAACCCAGGCGTCGACAGGGCGCGCTGGTGAAAATCACCGATTTGGAGCTAAGCCGTGACACGTGTCGTTTTTACGGCGGGTGAGATGCAAACACACATGAGGTGGTTCGAGGAAGGATGCTCTGTTGTGGATGCACTGTCATGCTGAATGTACTTCTTGCAGAGGTAAGACGTGCCAAATTGCTGCTGCCTTCTGCCCCCTGCATCCAATACGCACACGCACACAGACACACACAGACACACACGCACACACACACACACACACACACACACACACACACACACACACACACACACACACACACACACACACACACACGGACGCGCACAAACGCACAGACGCACATATACACTTCCCTCACCCTCCATGTGTGTGTGTGTGCATTGTGGACAGGAAACGGACGACCCCACGCCGCCATTCGCGCTCGCACAGCATTGACGGGAGCGCTCTGCTGCTGCTGTCCCGCTCCCCATCCGCCATGGATACGGGCACGACCAACACCAACCGCAACGACGACAACAACAACACCAACAGCAGCAACAACGACACAGCTGGTGGTGGCCGCGCCCTGAACGTGGCGGATATGGCGCCGTCGTCGCTATCGTCGTCGGGCGTGGGCGATCGGCAGTCGAGGGATGTGCGCCAACGCGGACGTGTACACAGGATGCCTGCACTTGCTGGCGGTGACGGCACGAGTGTCGATGACGATGACGATGGGGATGGGGATGAGGACGGCTACGATTATGGCGGTGGGATTGAAGTTGTTGGTGTGACGCGAGCACATGACGATCAGCAGCCCAATGACAAACAACAACAACAGCAACAACAACAGCAACAACAACAACAACAGCAACAACAACAACAACAGCAACAACAACAACAACAGCAACAACAACAACAACAACAACAACAACAGCAACAACAACAACAACAACAACTACAACAACAACAACAACAACAACAACAACAACACGCTGCGTTGGATGCGGTTGGCTCTGCACACCACAATGGTAATGCAGGAAATGAGGAAACACGTTGTTAACCTTTCCTTTGCGGTGCTGCTGGCAGTAGTCGTATTTAACTGAAATGTATGGGAAATGGCCACAATAAACCCAAGAGAAGGGCTGCGTTTGAACACAGCGTTGAGGGGGGGGGGGGAGGGTGTGCGGTTCAAAGCTGCTGCGGCCTCTCTTTGATGTCAACGTTGCATGGTGTTGGCTGGCACACGGGGGGGTTTACTGTTGAACAAAAGAAAAGCAAATGCAGCCATCATCCATTGACAACTAACCAACAAAGGCAGTGTTCAAGGCCATCATCGTACACATGGGCGCGCCAAAGACAACACAGTACACGCACGACAGAAACAAGGACACGCACACCATACCAATCACCCAAATCCACCACGTGCATCACAACAACAAGCGACAGGCACACCCCCCCCCACACAGGTTGATGTGCATGGGCGCACGTGTGTACGTGCGGTGGTGCCTATTGTGCGCGGGCGTGTGCCGCGGCCTCGACAGCGCGCTTAGCGGCGTCATCAAGGTCCGTGGCTGTGATGATCGGAAGACCAGACTCCTTCAGCACCTGGCGTGCCTTCTCCACGTTTGTGCCTGCAGGGCGTGTTATGGTTGATATGTGTATGTGTATGTGTATGTGTGCGTGAGTGTGCATGCGTATGTGTGCATGCGTATGCGTGTTGAGTTGTGGGTGGATTGCGAACAGTCACGTGAACACGTGTGCATGAGTGTGCTGTCAAAGCTCCCGCATCACACCGCGACACGATGCAAGGTCAGCTGCAAACGTATAACTTGGACCCCTACCGCACCTTCAAGACGGACAACGAGCGGAACTTGCAGCTCCACGTTCTTGCACGCGCTGACAATGCCGTTGGCAATGGTGGCGCAGTTCACAATGCCGCCAAAGATGTTCACAAGGATGGCCTCAACTTGCTTGTCGCCTGTCAGGAGCTTGAATGCGCTCGTCACCTGAGATGGGTGTACATGGGAGGGGTGAGGAGAGGTGTTGGTGACGTGGGAGGTCATGGTGAATGGGGTATCGCTGCGCAGAAGCGAGGACGAAGATGCTACTGGACTGGAATTTTCAACGACAGCGCATCCAGCACACGCACAGCCCTCACCCCCACTCCAGCCAGCACTCGGCTCGTTTGTCCCCGATTGTCTTCCTTCACCACCACAGCTCTTCACCACCAAGACCGCAATCACAATCACAACCACCACAGCTCCTCACCACCAAGACCACAACCACCGCACCATGTCCTCTGTGACGCCGCCGCCGCAGTCGAGGAAGTTTGCTGGCTCGCCGCCGTGCAGCTTGATGATGTCCATCGTCGCCATCGCAAGCCCGGCCCCGTTCACTGCAGCGGCAAGGCGCGAGGCGCGGTGGGCAGAAGGGAGAGCGTATGTGTGCGAGTGTGCTTGAGTGAATGAGACAAAAGAAGACAGGGAGACAAAGACAGACACACACACACACATACAAACAGAACAAAGACACAGCAGCCACACACACATACACACACACACACAAACAGAACAAAGACACAGCCACACACACACACACACACACACACACACACACAGACAGACACAGACACAGACACAGACACACACACACACACACGCAGCCACACCGCATCACCATCCAACCCCAACCCCCAACCCCCAATCCCAACCCTCGTTCTGCTTTCGAACTGCGGGTGGGCACGGACCGAGGCAGGCGATGTTGCCGTCCATGCCAATGTAGTTGAGGCCGTGCTTGTCGGCCTCGACGTCGCGCGGGTCCTCCTCCGTCGTGTCGCGCATGGCAAAGATCTCCTGCTGCCGGAACGCCGCGTTGTCGTCAAAGTTGATCTTCGCATCAAAGCACACGACTGGGCACGTTGGGATTTGTCATTGGTGCGGTTTGGAGTGTGAATTGATGTGGTTGGTGTGGACGTGTGAGGGTGGGCAGTGGCAGTGGCGAAGCTGGAATTGAACAGATGAGCAACAGCGCGTGCACACAAAGGGCAAACCAACCACACATTCGAACAAACAGAACCCAACTGTGCAATCACACAGATTGTAGACATTGGACGCTCTACATGTGGCTGCAGGCAACGCACCCTGTCCGTCTGGGGTCTCGGCAAAGGGGTTGATCTCGACCTGCGTTGCGTCGACGGCGAGGAAGAGCTCGTACAGCTTACGCATCTGCTCCTTCGCCTGTTGAGGACCAAGAGGGGGCGATGGAGTGGAACAGGAATTGGTGGTGGGGGGAATGTGAGTGGAATGCCTTAGACGTGGTAAGAGGGTGTCAATCACACGCTCACTACTGACTGGCATGCACCTAACATGTAAAGAGAACGCGATACAAAGCTTGCATACACACGCACGTACATGCACATACGCACACGTACACGTGCAGGCACGCGTGCACCTGCGACCACGTACGTCATGGAACTGCTGGCCCTCGAAGCGCAGGTTGATAGCAAGGCGGTCGAGCTGCTCCTCAGTCACGCCCTTGACAATGTCGATTGGCTCCTTGAAGATGAGCTCTGGGGTTTTGGCGGCAACCTCCTCAATGTCCACGCCGCCCTCGGGAGAGGCAACCATCACGGGCCCGTTTGAGTCGCGGTCCATCAGGATGGCAAAGTACGTTTCCCGCGCAATGTCCAGCGCCTCGGCAACCATGAGCTTGCTCACAAGCACACCGTCGGGCGGGGTCTGCTTCGTCACGAGCTTGTAGCCCAGCATCTGGCTGGCATACTCCTTCACCTGCTTAGGGCTGCGCACGTGCGTGCGAGCACAAGGGAAAGAGAATGGGGGAGGTGAGCAGTGAGCAGTGAGCAGTAGCAGGGGGTGGAGAGGGGATGTACGCTGGTGCAAGCTGGCAGCGAGGCACATACACAGATGTAACACCAGTTCCACGGCTGCATGCGTGTGTGCGTGCACGCATGCATGCAGTCAGTTGACAGTTGAGGGCAGTTGGGAGAAGATAGTGACGCGACAAAAAGCAACAAGAGACAGCGTGCACGCGACTGACTCTGTGGTGAGCTTGACGCCGCCCTGAAGCCCGCTGCTGAACGTGCCCTTGCCGCGACCACCAGCGTGCACTTGTGCCTTGAGCACGTACTCGCGCGCCGCTATCCCGACAAACACCAGCGACAGCAGCGGGAAAGGGGCCCGGTTACGTTGATGCGGTTGTTTCGAGTGTGAGCGTGAGTACATTCATGTGTTGGGAGTGTGAGTGAGTGCGTGTGTGTGTGTGTGTGTTGATGTGTGTGTGTGTGTGTGCGTTGATGTGCGTGTGTGTGCGTGTGTGTGCGGGTGTGTTGATGTGTGTGTGTGTGTGTGTGCGTGTGTGTGCGTGTGTGGTCGGTTATGTGCGGCAGGCGTGAGCAGTGCAGTGCACAAACCAAGATCACGGGCGCCTTCCTCGGCTTGTTCGGGTGTCTCTGCAAATCGGAAACGCTGCACTGTCACGCCGTGCTTCTGCATGAGGCCTTTGCTCTGGTACTCGTGCAAGTTGAGCTGACGGACCTGTGGTGTTGTTGGGTGGGCGTTGGAGCGGGCGATGAGCGTTGGAGTGGTCGACCATGGCAGCGACGTAGAGAGACCATGAGCACAGTGAAAACTTAACAGGGAGCTGTGAAAAAGGGGGGGGGGGAGACTGTGCAGAAAGAGTACACACAAGCATTTGGTTGACGCAGGAGGTGTTCACGACAGCAGTGCAAGCGGCACAGGAACAACAAAGGCCACTCTTTGTGAGCCAACCTGAGTGACTTGGCGGGCGAGGCTGCGGCACGCCCGGTGGCCACGAAGCATCATCATGACGACGTTGAAGGGCTTTAAGAAGGGTGTTGTTCTGGACGCGGCTAAACTTGAGTTGAATGCTGGTGGGTGGAGGAGATACGACAGGCATGTTGACCAACGCAGTGGATGTAAGCCAAGATAAGACGGTCCACAACGTGAGAGAAGGAAGGGTGTGTGTCAGAGTGTGTGAGTGTGTGAGTGTGTGAGTGTGCGTGACAGGGTGAGATACACAGAGCACACATGCACACGCGTGCACACACACGCTTCTTGCAGGCACACCACAAGCAAGCATTCATTCACTGGCTGGCTGGCTGGCTCGTTGTTGCTTGCGCGCATATCCGTGCTTGCGTCCTCACCTCGGTTTGCAAATTGCACCACACAAAATGCAAGCAAGCACGACTGCACTTTATGCTGTTGGGTACGATATCATGGAGGGGGACCCAAGTGCCAAATCGGCGACCCGAGTGCCAAATTGTGGGAGTTTTGAGCACTGTGTCAAGACATTCCCAAGAACCGCTGCACCTGACGACGGCACATGTTGCAGCGCTGAATTGCACTTGCAAAGGCCCCCTCCAACCACCCGCCAACTCGCGCTTCCTTCTTGAAACGGCCATTTCCCACTGCACACCACCACCCAAAATGAGCGCGACCTTGACGAGGCAATGTCCCCACGTCGCTTGCAGCTTCACTGAGGCCACCGGCAATGTCTCACGGCTGATCGACCACATCAAGGTCACACACGACCTCACCGAAATCCCATCCCTTCTGGCCTTGGTGCAAGTTGTCAACGTTGGTAGTGGTTCTGGTCCTCACCGCTGCGAGAAGTGCAACAAGACGTGCAGGTCTGTTCGACACCTCAAGGATCACATTCGAAAGTCAAAGGCGCATGAAGACGAGTACAAGGTACTTGCCCGCGCTTGCCTCTGTCCCCCAATGCCTGTTTTATGTTGGCGCTGCCTTTGCTGGCACAGCCACACAACCTTTTTGTGCTCACAACTGGCACACACTTGCATGTTGCGTTGCATATGCTGTTCACAACAGACGAGGGACACGTTTGTTTGCGTGAACTGTGACTGTGGCGGGTTTCCGAGCTGCGCACAGCTTGTGGCACATATCCAAAGCAACCATCCTTCATACCATGAAACGGGTGCGTCCTTTGCCGCCTTTGACTGCTCTCGTGTTCTCGTTCATGTCACCCTGGTTTCTGTGTGCTTGTGTGTGTCGGGCCACATACATGCGCATCCGATGCACCCCTCCCACTCATTCACGCCCATCGCTGTGCTTGTGTCAGTGGTGGATATGCGCCATTTCAGAACCCTGAACGCCTTCGCGGCGTGGCTGCTCGATGAACAGGAGACGACATATGCGTCCTACACGAATGAGCCATGGACTGATCTCAAGCGGAGGACACCAACAACCTGGGGTGCGCTGCATTGTTGTTTTAGGGTGCTGTGACCTTCGTTTGCCTGTATCTTGATGTTCCTTTTTTTTTGTTGTTC